GTTTCTCATGAAGTTCAGCAAAAGAAATTGACGTGTCACGGGCATTAATGGCATCAATGACATATTTACTCATCACTTAGTCCTTCTAGAACCCGATCAATAAGATCCTCATCATCAATTGGCTTCCCTAGAAGAGCAAGTTCATCGGCACGAGTCTTTATCGCTTGCATGTATTCACTAATTGATTTTGAGCCCTTGTTACACCGCTTTAATTGTTCCTTCAATTGTTTAATATGACCACGAGATGGTTTGGCGTAGGTATTAGCTAAGGTTTGCCATGCATCAAGGGAAGTGGTGGTGCGGGCAATAAGCGGTTGCAATGAACGGAGATGGCACCAAGGAGAGCGCTAAAAGGAGACGATCCTGACGCTTCCAGGTTGTGTACGCCAGATTTGGAGATGTAACACCATTGACGGTGATGGTGGGTTGTGGTGGAGTTTGAGTGCCATCAATAAAGTGATGAAGATCATAACCTTCAAGAAGAGATTGGATTTGAAGGCTCCATGTGAGATAATTGGTGGATGACAATTTGGTGATATTGGAGAGATTTATTGTAAGGAGAGGATGTTGAGGATCTTGAGAATTTTGGATAGTAATAGGATCGTTGGTGGAAGAGGAAGTCGTATGGGAAGCCATTGAAGGGACTAGTGGCGTAGTTTTAGATATATGTATATGAAGGATCGTGGTGTTTTTGAACCAAAAAAAAAAGGAGAAGAAAATATGCTCAGGAAGATTAGGCTCGTGATACCATGTTGAAATAGAGAGAAGAGTAATGAGAAACAATGGCTTGAGTTTTCCATTGATTAAGAGTGAATATATATACACAAAATTGGACACATAGAAATAGGAAACTAGCCTAGAGTTAGGGGATTACAACTAATTACAAGGCATAGAAATAGGAGATTAGCCTAGAGTTAGGGGATTACAACTAATTACAAGAATATTATAATTGATTACAATAATTTAAAATATAGATAAAATCTATTATAATTAATTCTCTAATATGTGTAAGCTTTTGAACCTCTGCAACCTTTTGGCGATGCATTTTTTCCCAAAATTTTGTTTTCTTCCTACCATAGACAAATGGTAAACATGTGATTTCTTCATTTACATAGTTAATGCTAAGCCAAAAATATATGGATCTAAAAAAAGGAAACACCAAGAATGATTGGAATACCTGGCAAATTTCTATCTGCTTCATCAACTCCTGGTTTTTATTTTGGAGGTCATCCACCATGGACGCTTTGGCCAATGCAACCTGGACAGTCCTTTCCGCTTCAAGTAAAGCTGATTCTTTCGATTTAGTTAGACGGTCAAGGGCTTTGTTATCGTCTTGAAGCTTTGCAATCTGCAAAAAACCAAAAGACCAATTGGTAAGAAAATAATCAATCACATATGAGTTTAAAAGGCATTCTATATTTTCTTTGTGAGACAGAATCAACAGTTCAAACGATATATGAAATACCTCTTGCCGAGCAAGCTTCAGCTCAGCCTCCAAGGGTGCAAGAATCGCTTCAATTGGAGGCATATCATCATCCTTTTGAGCAGCATGAACTCTCCGTAAAGTCGCCTCAGCTGCAAATTGAGCAGCCATGGATGCCTTCTTCTCATCATTTATTTTCTTGATTTCAAGGTTCTGCAAAACATGTTTATGAAGTAAATTTCTAGACACGATGACATGAAAATCAATAAGGTTTGAAAAGGATTTGAAACCAATACCTTGCTTTCAAGAAGAGATTCTGTCAGTTTAAGTTTCTCTGCCATTTTCGAGAGCTCATCACTGAGCTATGGTACAGATCGAAAATAAAAACAGTCAGTTCCATCTTAATCACAAAACATGTTACAAGAATTCCAAGTCAGATGACCACATAAAAACACAGTTCAAAGACAATGAAAGCATTGAAAGAGGATTCGCGCTGTTAGATGGACAGCTCATCACTGATTTTCTAAAATTATTAAGCAACAACTAATGAATATGAAAATGCCACCCAGCATGACTTTGAGAGAACAATTATGTATTACGTTGCTCCAACTCCTCATTTTCTTCAAGTACTCGTATCCAACACATTTGAACAAGGGTACATGTATAAGATCCTCTCAGGAGTCTCCAAATATATGTAAATCTTGGAAAATAAATAAATATACCCATGATAGACACTCACAGCTGAGTCCAAGTAGCATACATTGTGTATAATGTATTTCAACTGGTACAATCCTAAAAGACCAGGAATGAAAACGCATCAGCAAAAACATAGATTAATTTGGTATCAGCAATGAAAACGCAAAAATTAAATAAATTGGTACAATAACCTATAAACAAAATAGTAAAAAATGCTAATATCGTTGCATCAAATAAAGCTAAATAATTTCAAATTTAAAATAAAATTATTTATTTTTATGTAAATATGAAATTCCATGCGTAAAGTTGTTAAAACTTGTTTACACAATTTTCTTAAGATAAATCAATTCTTTCTTATACCGAGAGAACAACATTCATTTAATCATCAAGGTCATATGTTCGATGGATTAAAATTATTTATCATTTTTAACATATTTTATAATATATGATTATTATGGGACGATTAGTTCATATTAGATAATGTAAATATTTATTTTAAGGATGATTATCTTTTAATTTACTCATTTGTACTATAAAATTTAAATATCTAACCTTTTTTTAAAAAAAATTTATGTTTAATGCCGCCAAATTAACTTATAGAGCTGATTAATCAAGTACTATTATATATATATATATATAATTAAAAAGTTGTATATACCTTTTATAATTGTTGGATGAGGAGAAATTAAATATTGAGATTAGCATAGAAAATGATAAGATATTCAAATTAATCTTTGTATTTGATTTTTACTCGTCCAACGATCATAAAAGGATATAAAACTAAAAGATATACACTAGGTATAAGTGGATCCTAACACACACGTATATGTATATATAGCAAAAATCCAATTACATAATGTAAAACTTTTTTAATTTTACATGTTTTAAGATCGTTGAATGAGAGAAAATTAAAGATTGAGATTAATATAAGAAATGAGAAAATATTCAATCAAAGTTGATGCACTAAGCCCTCGTAAAGACCAAATGCAAATTCATTATTTTGAGAAAAAATGGTTAAATTTAATTTTGAAAAAATACATATCCAATATTTAAAAAAAATTAAAATTAGACTCTATTTTTAAATTTTTGGATCCCACTATATATAATTAGTATAAAACAAACTGCGGTGTTGACATGACCAAGTCAATTTTTTACTTTTTAAAGATAAAATAGTATTTTTATAAATATTTATGGAGTTATTTATATAGGATGTCCCTTAATTATGTCCTATATTTTAAAATAGATTTTAAATTTTAAAATATTTTATATTAATCAATAAACTATGACTCATATTTTAAATTGATCCTAAAATTTAAAACTTCTATATCAACCATTAAATTATCAATATCAATATATTTATGGACTCCCTATGAAATTTTCTCATATTTATTTTATTTTTCTTTTAAAATAATATATGATAATTATAAGAAAAATATCACTATTCAGATTTAAATATTTTAAGAAAATCAATATTTCATTTTATTATTGAACTTCTCATATTTCTTTTATTAAAGTTTTGTTTTGTTCAATAAATAAATAAATTGATAATGGACAATAGAATTAGTGGTGAATAAAGTTAAGAGAAAATAACTTCAGTGACCGAAAATGCCTTATAATATACGATTTTAATCAAATTTTTTTTGTAAAAGCGCAACGTGAATAGTGAAATCACAACGAATCTATATGTAAATTATCTCTTATCATCCATCTATAATAATTTGTTGGAAAAGTACATAAATAATTTTTATAAAAAAATATTCGTACACGTGAAAAAATTTATATGTAAATGAACAACAAATCTATTTCATTTGTCAATCTTCATTATAAATAATTCTAAATTCAATTAATTAAAGTTTGAAATTTGAAAGAATCATTAACTCAGACTAATGAAATGCATTTAAAAAATTAAATTTTGAATTATATTAAGAAAAAAGTTGATTCCTATACACATGTAGATAAGTTTTAATTTCCACTTAAAATTCCAGTCTAGAAGCAGAGAGTTACCATTTGAAATTCGCAATGCGATTTTACGATTTTCTAAATTCGCGTTGTGATTTTCTAAATTCGCGTTGTGATTTTCTAATTCGCGTTGCGATTTTCCAATTCACGCTGCGATTTTGGAAACTGAGTTGCGAAATTAGAGTTCGCGTTGCGATTTTGTTGGTCATTTTGGCAAATCCAAAAAAAATAGTTAAAATCATATATTATAAGACATTTTCGATCACTGAAGTTATTTTCTCTAAAGTTAAAAGTACCACGACCATAGTAATTCAGTGAAATTCCAACCATACCCTTGAGACCGTACATCCTAAACTAACCTATCACAGCGTGGCGCCGGATCATTTCCATAGACACATTGGTTCCATTCAGATAAATTTTATCAAGTTATTAATTTGATTGATACAGACAGTTAAATCTGATAATTTTTGGATCAATTAATATTTCTTTTTCATGTGAATAAATTTACATATGATTAGCTTCAAAACTTGAAGAAATCTGACATCTGATGAACTAACGGCAATGCTCAAAGCTAACGGGGAACCCAAGGATCTCAAAGGCTGGTAATTACTTCTTCATCTACTCTAGTTACGGTGTGACTCAGTTGAGCACGAGCACGAGTTGTATGAAGCTAAAGCTCGACTCAATATTTGAAACTCCTAGAAATAAAACATCAAATATTGTTTAAAATTTAAATTCATCACTTATTGATAATTAAAATTCAATACTTCAAATTCCTAGAAATAAATAGGGACTAAACTGCAATAGTTTGAAAAATATATGAATTGGAAACTAATTAAGCCTTATCAGTTCGTATATGATAGCGTTCTTTACGTAAATTTCAATAGTCTTTGCTTTAAGTCTTTAAGCTCTCTATCTCAAACTTTCACTCTTCCTTTCAATATTCTCTTTGAACCCTTTGTTTTTTCTCTCTCTCAAAATCTTCAGAAATGGCTTTAGCGATGAAAGAATTATCGTCTCTTTTTCTTCTTTTCATCGTATTATCGATGTTCTTCGTCACCCCATCAATGTCCGCCGCTGATACCTTCGTTTTCGGCGGTTGTTCGCAGCTGAAATTCACGTCAGGCTCACCGTACGAGTACACCGTCGACTCGATATTCACCTCCCTAGTCAACTCAGCCATGTTCTCCGCTTACAATAACTTCACCATGCCCGTAGCAGCCAGCGGCGGCTCCACTTCTCAGGACACCGTCTACGGTCTGTTCCAGTGCCGCGGCGACCTAAACAAAGGTGCCTGCAACAGCTGTGTCGCTAAAGCGGTGAGTCAGATCGGCACTCTCTGCTTTGACTCGACGGGTGGCGTGCTGCAACTCGAGGGGTGTTTGGTTAAATACGATAACGCGACTTTCCTGGGCGAGGAGGACAAGACTGTGGTGGTGACAAAATGTGGGCCATCGCTCTCGCCTAACACGGACGGGTTGACTCGACGCGACGCGGTGCTGAGCTACTTGGAAGCGAGTGACGGGATGTTTCGGGTTGGCGGGTCTGGTAATTTACAGGGCGTGGCTCAGTGTGTAGGGGATTTGGATCCGAGCGAGTGCCAAGATTGCTTATCAAACGCAGTCGGACGGCTCAAAACAGACTGTGGGGCGGCCAAATGGGGTGACATGTATTTGGCTAAGTGCTACGCGCGGTACTCGGAAGGTGGAGACCACTCGGACGCCGGTAAGGGTAAACGATTTCGCCACCTCTTCCACGGTGGTTCTTCATATTTATTTTTAATATATAATATATATTTGGTTTGGTTTGAATTTGCTTGAAATATTACCAGTAAAAAGACAAATCTTTGTAAAATATAGTAGGTTTTTTTCTACCTTTTTAATGCCTTGTGAAATGTAAATTAATAATTAGTGTGAATTTCATGGTTATTTTGGGTACATTTTAGGGTTTTTTTTTGGTCAAGAAGGATATATATGAAGGAATGTTGATAGAAATGACGAAGTAGGCACATTGAGACAAGTGAAAAGAAAGTTGCACAAAAGATGAAAGAGCGTAGAGGCTAATTAATATACTAATTGTGCATTGCGCACTCGAGCTTTAAAGCCATGTCTACCTATAATTACTCTGCACTTTTGTGAGCTAAGAGAAAGTAAAAGGGAAAGGTGCTCTTCGAATAGCTGTAGTTAGTGCATTTGCAGGCGTGCCTTTAGAAGCCTTTGTTCACTTTTTAGTATAGATAGAGTTGGCAAAACCTTTGAATTCATTTAGGGTTTTAGTTTAAATTATTGCATATATACGTATATTTGGGTTGAAAGCCTCTAAGTCATAATAGCTTTAATTTAAGAATTTGGTCATATTGAATTTTGGCTCGACGGTCGTATATGTCCCTGTAGTATATCAAATTTATCATTTTTGTCTCTATTATATTTCCACATCAATTTAACCCTCAAAGTTGTTTAATTGCATCATTCTATGTCATTCCCCTAACTTAAAACCCTAAATTATGAACCCTAAGTTAGTGTTTACATGTAATAGGGTTAGGATTTAGGGTTTAAATATTATAATTTAGGGTTTTAAGTTAGGATTGAGTTATAAAATAATACAATTGAGTAACTTCGTGGGCTAAATTGATGAGGAAATACGATAGGAGCGAAAGTGATAAATTTAATCTATTACAGGGGGCAAAAGTTACCCTTTTGCCTTAAATTTTATTTAGGGTAAACTACGCATTTAATACATAAACTATCAAGTTTGGTCCGTTTTAGTACTTAAACTTATAATTTTTTCAAAACCATATTTAACATTTAGTTTTCATTTTATTTTAACACTCACCGTTAAAAACTTACCGCGTTTAATACTTAAACCATCAGATTTGACCCTTTTTAGTACCTAAACTTTTAATTTTATTTTTACAAAACTTAACGTTAACTTTTGAACAGGACACTAAAATGAAACAAAAAATAAAGTTTTTAACGGTATGATACTAAAATGAAACAAAAACTAAACTTTAGATATGATTTTTGAAAAAAAGTAAAAGTTTAGTATTAAAATGGACCAAGATTGATAGTTTATATACTAAACGCACAATTTACCCTTTTATTTAAGAAAATTTCGTTGATCCAATAATTGTTGGGTATGTCTTGATCCATACGTCTTTTAGACCTCTTTCACAATTGACAGGATGTGGGAGAATGCTAGAAAATGACCAGCTTTAAGAAAGAGATTAGTCAAAAAGGGAAAATGTAAAATCTATTCAAAATTATGAGCATGGATTTACATATGCAGTTTAAATTATGAGCACGGATTTAAATATGGTACGCTATCGGAATAACGAATATTATATAATGATAAAGGTGTTATTTAAAAAAATCATTGTATGACTGTGATATCCATATTCCACAATAACATCCGCTATTGTCGTAATCGCGATAAACGTAACCGTAATTTAAATTCTTGGTACCAAGTGACGGAAAACATGAGGAAGTTGACTTACCAATCGTGATCCATCCTCGAACAGAAACCGAATGCCTTGATTCTTTGAAATCGAACCATCAACGAGATCCTTGTATTCGAACTCATCGGCATTGACAACCTTTGACACATCCGGTCGAGCCCCTTTCACAATACAGAACGATAGTAAAACCATATTTGCCATTAAATCCTTGGCTCCACCAGCATCTACGTTCTTCACGAAAGAAGATGAATCTAGTTAGATACTCCCTCGATATCTGTACGCAAAACATAGAAAACAAAATTACCCAATGTTGTACCTCATAGTCATATCGAGTATAAAAGTGTCGACCATAGCTGGCCCAGTGCTGACGAACTATATCCTCAACTGACACAAGCTTGTTGTCCCCATTGAGATTTTCCTTGTTTTTATGTGCAAGGATTGAAAGCCAGGCCAAATCTGCCCAGATTCCATCTTTCTCACGTATATGGTCAGAGCCTGTTCACAGATAGCAGATTCTGTAAGTTACTCATAGTAACAAGTAAAACTGATATACTTGGTGTGTAGGAACATCAAGCGCCAACCAGTTCCAAAACTTTCTTCTCCACAAATTGAACACATTCCAGCATCCATTAAATTCCCGAAAAATTTCCAGCCAGTGGGTACCTATCAGAGAATAGGTTAGCTGTAACATCCTCAATACCGGGTTAGTGACCAAATTATAAAGTTTCAGAAATTGGTGATTAAAGTAGGATAATTGAATAGTTCAATGATTTATTGGAAATATGATGAAGGTTATTCAGTAATTATTAAAAGGAATAAAGGGTAAATTGGTCATTTGACCAGAAAGATTTTTATCTTTCTTTTAGGGTTATAAAACACGTGGGAAAGGAGAGAATTATCCAGAGTCTTCTTCTCCAGCTTCTTCTTCTTCCCGTAAGCCTCATTTAAAGGTGAGTTTAATTTCAGCTGTTTAATTCTTGGATTTATAAGTTGATTTTGATTCTTGGAGTATTATATAAGCTTAAGGAAAGCTTATATAAGCTTTAAACATCAAGAATAGAGAATTAGAAAGGAAATGATATGAAGGGTGTAGAAATGAAATTTTGTTATAGAAAGGTTTTTGAAGTTCTAAAGATGGATTTTACTTGTCAAGGGTATAATTAAGAAGCTAGAAGCAATAGAATTGAATTTGGAACATGTTGAAAATTTAGTGTAATTCTTGAATTACGAATAGGATTTTGATGTTAAAGAGATGATTAATGAATAGGAATGAGTTTGAATATGAGTATGTAAGTTAAAAATAAGAAAGGGGATGATATATGAAGTATTATGCTGAAAAGAGTGGATTTTCGGGCATAAAAGAGGATTCTGGGCAGAGTGCATCGATGCACATTCATAGTGCATCGATGCATCAAGATTAAAACCCAGAAATTACTTGAAGGTGTATCGATGCATTGGTAATGCATCGATGCACTCTTTTAAAATAGAAACATCGAATGCAATTTGTGCATCGATGTATAAGTCATGCATCGATGCATCCCAATAATAATACAACATTGAATGCATTTTATGCATCGATGCATTAGTAGTGCATCGATGCATACCTTCATTAAAAGATGAAATTGGCTTTTCTCTGAGCCTAAGGAGTGATAGTTTCGAATATATCAATCAGTATACTGATAAGTATTAATGTATTATTATGTAGATATAGAATGAAAGCTTGTTCCGGAACAAACTAAGGATTAGGATTGATTCAAACAACGAGGCCCAGGTGAGTGCATTTTATTGTATAGGATTATATGGAAATTGGACTTGTGATAAGTCTATTCCTATAGTAATAGCTCATTATGTCTTGATTATAAGTATGTTAACGATATGAAGTGTATGTATGTTGGATTATATGAATTGATAGGTTTTGTTTTGTATGTGCTATGTGGTTTATGTAAAAATACGGTTAAGTGTTAATGAGAGAATATAAAATAAGTTATGAAATCATATGAATATAGAAGATAAGTCAAGAGATGTAGGGAAATGGAAATAGATGTTTATAAAGAGTCATAGGAGAACAAATATAAGTAACATGATAATGAAATATAAGACTATGTGAATACATGGTTATGAGATAAAAGATGTAAAAATAGGAAAATATGATGATAGTGAGTTCATGAGAAGTGATATGAACTAGGTAAACATGAGTTGGACAAGTACATAGTGATATGATCCATCATGGGAATTAGTATAATAGAGCTTTTGATTTAATGAGAGTTAAGGGAACTAAATAAGATTGAATTATAGAATGAAATGGGAATAATATATCAATTAGGAAACTTGAATATAAAGGAACGATACGAATATGCAAGATAAGTTATATGCTAAATATCTATGGAGCTATATGAAAAGATTATAATGAAATTATGAAATTGAATTAAGTAAATAGATTAAATTATTACCTAAATAAAAATACTATTAAATGATATATATTTAGAAATACGATATAAGCTATGTGAAAGTGTTCTAGGTGTTTCTATATGTTATATGAAATATATGATCATATGTGAACAAGATATGATAAGTATGTTTACATGAATAAATGTGATTGGGTGAGAAATGATAGAAAGTATATGAAAACATGTATAGGTGAATTAGCTTTGTAATTAGGTAATATATGAAATCATAACTATGAATTATGGGATGTGAAAGTAATCTATGTGATTATATGTTATATGAATACAAGAACATGAGATATGTGACATGTGAATTATATGGAAATGATCTACGTGTAAGTGAACTATGTGACTATGTGATAATATGAAAAGAAACTATGTGATACATGATATGTGAAAGTGAATTACATGTTTATGTGAATATTTGAAATGAAATAAATGATAATGCCCGTGTTATGTGTCATGAGAGCTAGGGGTATAGTTGGCATGCCAAGAGTCGAGGGTCTACGCGGTCCTTCGGGACATATGTATATTCTTTGGAACATTTATGAGGTCTTTGAGGCACATACTTGGTCCTTAGTATATGTATATGATTCTTAAGGAATGATATGTGGTCTTTATGGACATTATTATATGGCACTACGGTGCAATTCTACGCGGTCCTTCGGGATATATATATATTCTGTGGAACATGTGTGAAGTCTTGTAAGACACATACTTGATCCCTAGTATATGTATATGATTCTTAAGGAATGATATGTGGTCTTTATGGACATTATTATAGGGCACTACGGTGCAATTCTACGCGGCACTACGATGCAATTCTACGTGCACTTCGGTGCAATGATACGAGCTGTGGTGACAGCATTAGTGCACAACCTCTATAGACTCACATATCGATAGTTCTCACAAGTGTACCATGGGCTAATCAAAGAGATAACATAA